GAATGAAAATCAAATTCTATTAAGTGAGGATTATATTCTCCACACTGCTTCGTATTTTTTTTCTTTTTTCATTTTAATTAGTTAATTTTTAAAAATCACACAAAACAAGTAATGTTCGCATTCAGTTAGCGATTCAACCAAACTGGAAATAATTTGCTCATAAATCTTATTTTCTCTCATAACAAATTGCTTTGGAAACATGAACTTTTTTTTATCCCTGGCACCTGTTATTGTCACGATAAAGAGACTGCTTTTTGTATCAATCATGGGAGTTGGATATCTCTCAATTGGTCCAAAGTGGACAGCTGTATAATATATCATGAACCTGGAATGAATTAAGGAGTTGTAGATAAATACTTCCCCCTTCCCTATGGAGATTACTGAACAAAATCATTATATTTTATGTAAGTTTTATCACCATTTTGAGATGAAAAGATTCATTAAATTTACCAGTATGGTAATGCTGCAGTTAGTGATACCACCAATTTTAAGTATATTTTTTGACTTACAAACGACCATTTTTTGTTTGTTTTTTTATTAAAAAAATTATTTTGTACTTATTTTGGCGAAAAACGTTAAGAAAGGAACTTTTGACATTTTTACAATTTCATATAGGCAGCACAATTGTACACAAATACAAAATGTCAGAACGTATTGAAAGAATGAACCAAAGGTTGGGTAATTTACTTTTGGGAGATAACATTATATTGCATTGTAACTATTCTGGTTAGCTATCCAGTTTAAAAAACTAATAAAACACAATTTAACTACTTCTTCACAAAGCAATAAACAAATCAATTCAGTTCAAAGCTGCATTTGAACCTGGTAATGACAACTATTTCTGAATTTTATTAAAACAACTGGTAGTATTCATTATTAAATTGAAATAAAGTTTAATTTTGAAGATGAATGTGAAACGAAAAAAAAGAAATGATAAACTTTGCTGATATTTATAAATAATTTAGAGGTCACTAATGGTGAGGTCAAATGTCACAACTTCCTTGGCAACACAGAGCTGATACTGGAGCTGATTTCTATGAGCTAATATTAAAATTAAACAGTAATGGGAGGATACACAGTTTATAAGAATCCCAGACGTTTGCAGTAACTGACAGATTAATATAGCCACTCACATTATTAATAATGTCTACGGGCGATTTTCAAACTAACCGCATGACTCTAAAATATGAAGTGCATTTAGTATTATTTTCTCACATATATTCATTTCATGTCTTGATATCAAATACCACATGTGACCTTCAAGGGCACAGAAGAGAAAAGATTAACCAAAGAATTTTCTATGTATAATTTAGTCAAATTTATTACAGAAAACAAAATCTAATTAGCAAATCTGTAATATGCATAATAGATATTAGATTATCAAAGTGCTTTGGACACCCACTAAGCACTAACTATTGAATTAAACACAATATTTACAGACCAGTCAAGCACTCAAATTGACTTTTTTTCTTTATTTCCAAAAATTCTCTGCAACAATATTTACTTAGTTATCCAACCTAAACAGAAAATGTGATTTAAAAACAAACTTTTTTGTTGAAAGGAGGTCTGCACAAAGTATGGGATTATAAGAAATAATTGGGTTCTTTATTAATCTCCAAAGAGTCTCAAGACTTGAATATTCAAGACAATTAGTAAACGGATACAGGACAGCTCATTTCCCCTGCTTGCACACTTGTTTATTTTCCTGATTTCTTTTTTTTGGTATGTGCATGGAGGTAAATTTTACCTCTGGTATGTGGAACAAAAGTAAAGTAAAGATTTGCCTGATAATAGAATTGCAAGTTAAATATCTGAAATTTATAATATGAAGACTACTTACTGTAAATGCATTAATTATTCGCTGGGTTTTAATTTCTTTAATTTTACTGATAAGTAAAATTCGCTAAATTAAATCTATGT